ACAACCTGTTAACTTCTGAACCTCTCGGATGGTACGAGGCGACTGCATGTCAATGACCGCCTGTACCTTCTCAGGGTTCGCCTCTATTCCTCTCTGATTGATAAGGAATCCGAGAAATTTCCCAGACTCAACTCCAAATACACATTTCTTGGGATTGAGCATGACATGGTGCCGCCTGAGTGTGGCGAAAGTTTCTCGGAGGTCCGTCAGATGATCTTCCTGAAGTTTAGTCTTGACAATCATATCATCAATATATGCCTCGACGTTTCTCCCAATCTGATCAAAGAACACTGTGTTTATCATTCGTTGGAAGGTAGCCGGGGCATTCTTAAGACCAAACGGCATGACCGTGTAACAGTATAACCCCTGATCAGTGACGAAGGCCGTCTTCTCCTGATCTTTCTTCCATAAAGGAATTTGATGGAAACCAGAATAGGCGTCCATAAAACTCATCAAGGCATGACCTGCTGTTGAGTCGACCAGATTATCAATTTTAGGCAGAGGGTAACTGTCTTTGGGGCACGCCTTGTTTAAGTCTGTGTAGTCTACACACATTCGCCAGGTGCCATTCGGCTTTTTAACAAGCACCACATTTGCAACCCAGTCTGGGAAGTAACATTGCCGAATGAACCCTGCATCAAGTAATTTTTTAACTTCGGCGGCTGCCGCCTGACTTCTTTCTTCGCCATGGTTCCGCTTCTTTTGCCGTACCGGCTTCTTTTTCGGATCCACAGCGAGTTTATGTACTGCCAGATCAGGACTAATGCCTGGCATTTCATGGACTTCAAATGCAAAGATGTCCTTGTATTCTTTCAATAGATTGTGAAAGTCGTCACCAAGGTTTCTCAGAGCAGTCGTCCCAACTTTGACTGTTCGGTCAGGACGTGAGTCGTCTAAGATCAGGTCCGCATGCTCACCAGCCGGCTGAGGGCGGAACTCATCCGGCCGCTCCTCTGCCAATGATTGCTATTTTCTTGCTTTTCTTGTGGACTCTGTCTGGGACGCCTTTCTCTTTTTGTCGCCTGTTTCTTGAACAGGCGCACTCTCCTTGACATTGTCAAGGTCTGTTTTTTCTCCACTTGACCCAGTGGCCATAACAGTGGGCTTGACATCCGAGAGATAGCACTCTCGGGCCATCCTCTGATCTCCCCTTAGGGAGCCGACTGTTCCATTATCCCTCTCAAACTTAAGCAGCATAAGAGACGGGATTATAACAGCCTTGGAATTATTCAGGGTTGGTCGACCCAGAATCATGTTGTAGGCCGAGAGTTCCTCTACTACTAGGAACCGGACTACCATGTGTCGTCCTTCCCCTTTTTCGCCCAGGCGAATGGGTAAATCTACTCGTCCCAGTGGGTGGACGACTCCTCCTCCAAACCCTATTAAAGGGTGGGAGGCCGGATGTATGCAGTCCGTCTGATATTTCAGTTTTGACAGACATTTGCTGCTGATGAGATCTGAGGAGCTCCCGGTATCTATGAGGATTCGGCCAACTCTCTGGTTGGCCACTTTACATTCAATAACGAGAGGGTCGTCATGCGGCCCCCTTACCCCTCCTAGATCCTCTTCAGTGATGACAATCTCAGGAAATGTATATTTGGACGGCCGTTCTTGGTGAACGGAATTTACATCTAACCGCCTTATATTATCTTTGTTGCCCCTAATAGTGGGGCCGCCTCCTGAGAAGCCGCCTGCAATGGTGTAGACGACTGCATCATCTGTATCATAACTGTCGGCCTGTTGATTCTTTTTGGCCGACTGCTTTTTTGAGGAAGTGTTCCCCGTAGATTTCTTGACATAAGTGTCAAGATCACCTTGCTCAGCCAAGCGGTCTAGGTACCGCATGAGACTGATGCAGTCATTGGTGTGATGACCAACGTCATCATGATAAGCACAGATTTTGTCTTGGTTCCGGTTGTTTGCAGAACCCTTCATGGGGACCGGCTTCTCAATTGAGAACCGTCCCTTTATTTCTTTTAGGATAAACTGGTTATCCTTGTTAAACACATACTTTGGGGAGTATGGTTTGAATTCTTTTTTCTTTTTCTAGGCCGGCTGTTTAGAGGAATCAACCGCCCAGACCTCTTTTCTTTTCTCATCTTTGTTAGACGACTGTTTCTGTCGTCCTTCTCTTTTGTCGAACCTTTTCCCGTCCGACTGTTTTATCGTACACAGATCAGTCGCCTGTATATAGGCTTCTGCTTCAATCAAGGCCTCTTGAAGAGTCGCCACCCTTTTTCGAACTAAATCAAATTTGAAGGTAGACCCGTCTTTGAGACCTCTAAAAAAGTCAGTATAAGCTACCTCATCCGGTAACCCTTGAATCTGTATTCTCATCAGGTTGAACCGCCTGATGTAAGAACGAAGCCCCTCCTTCTCGCCCTGCTGAATTGTTCCCAAATCAAGGGTCGTTTTCTTCGCAGGGATGTTCATAGCGAAGTTGGAGGCAAATAAGTAAGCAAGCGTCCTGAAGCTGTTTACAAAACCAGTCGGCAGGTTGCCGAACCATTGCTGTGCGATTCCCTTGAGAGTCGCTGGGAAACACTTGCACCAAGTTGGATCATCCAACCCTTGAAGGTACATCAGGTTGGTGAATGCCATCAGATGGTCTTCTGGATTAGTAGTGCCGTCATAGGCGCCTACTAGTACATTTTTTACTTTGGCCGGCTGAGCGGCTTCAGTAATTTCCTTGGAGAAGGCCGACGGCTGTTCACCAAGTCTAAGCAGCCGTAGCTGCCAGTCCATAGGTTGGACGTTTTTTGCTGCAGGTCCACCAAATGGAGGTGGCTGCATAAAATACTGTTGTTGCGGCACAAATGGTAAGTTTGGTACCGCCTGGGCACTATGAAAGCCGGACTGACGGGAGGTGCCGCCTGACTGACTCTCATGGTACGACTGAGTATGCCTCATCGAGGCATTTCGCAAACTGTCTTGAAAATTTGAAGTAGAAGCCGACTCTGACAATCGGTCACTCTTCTTCTGCTCTAGCAGTAGCCGAGCATCTGTGAACGTTTGCTTTGACCCGTCCGCCTGAATATGACGAACCGATTTCCTATTTCCCGTAGGATAACGGAATTTTGTGAAATCAAGAGCAAGTGGCTCCCGCTTCTTGGATTTAGGATGAGGAGTCGCCTCTCGCCCTTGAACTGGCTTCCTCTTCAGTGAAGTGGAAGGTTTTTTGGCCGACTGCTCTTTGACTGAAGCAGGCGGCTTTTTGTTGATCAACTCTTGAATCTCTCCCTTGAAGTCCCTCATGAAGGTCATGAGTTCGTTCCTTGTGATGGGAGCAGACCCATCAGTCGGCTGTTGCCGAGCAGGCGGTGCGCCTGCTGGCTCGATTCCTGTTTGAAGATGCTCCCGTTCCCTCCTTTCGGTATGACGGGTACGTCGGGCCCTTAGGGTCCCGTCTGGAGCTGTATGAGTTTCCACTTCAAATTCACTTTCGGTATCATGGTCCGACTGAACTTGAGGGTCGTCTAGGGGACGCCTCTCTTCAGGAGTCGGTACAGACTTGGATGCCATCTCTGAAGTACTCTCCCCACAGACGGCGCCAAATGTTTCGGGATTTTCTGATGTCCTGCGGGAGAGTTACAATTCCGAGACTGGAACCGGACGCCTGTACCTACAAAATAACGGAGACTCCTGAGAGCTCCGCCTCCAACGGTCAAGTTAGTACCTGATTAAGGAGTAATTAATACGGAAATTAAAGTAATAAGATCTCTCTAGGTGAGAGTGTTTAATGTTGGTAATCTGCGTCGTTAGCGAGATTAGCCGGTTATTAGTGTTCCGTAATGTTTCTGTTCTTCTCTTGATTTCTTGATCTCTGGATTGCCTGATGTTTTCTTGACTGCTTAATTAATGAGGATTAATTAAGTATTTATAGCCTTGAGAAGCGTGCCACTCTCTAGGTTTAGGGTAAACCTAGGGCTGACCGGGCCTCTAGACAGGATTGGGCCTTGATGGCCGGTTTTCCCATTTGGCATGGGTGGACACGTGGCGTGCCTCGATTGGTCCGTAGAGGACGTATCTGTGATTGACACGTGGCAGGCTCCTATTGGCCTTCGTGAAGGACACGTGGCGGAACCTGGTTGGTCCACTTGTCAGACGGTGATTGGTGGATAAAAATCCCCTAATCAAGTGGCAGGAATGTTCTCACTTTGTTCACTTAAAAAAAACAGAATTATTTTATATAATATGATATTAAAGTATGAACTAATTTATACAATGAAGAAGATAATTAGTTATTTTGGTATAAAGCTTTTATACCTTATTGTTTGATTTGTCTCTGGTGGTCTTGATTTTGACATAACAAATTTCACTCGAACCTTTTTTTTTTCACTAAAATTTTAAGAATTACCTAATAAGTTTGGTATATATATACAATGTACAATAATTGAATGTAAAAACAATTATTTTATACATATAAACTTACTTGTTTAAAGTGTATCTTTCATAACTATTACCATATTCATTTTGTTCTATAACCTTCTTTAGAGTTAATGGTTCAGATTTCCCATCTCTAAATTGAAGCAAGTGTATCACTCTATATGGCACATCACTACATTATAAATTAATTACATGACATTAGTTTGAATGCATATCACTGAAATGATTATTATCATATTTATATATGTGCATGATGATTTAATGAAATGTATATTTGTTATTTAAATCTCAATGAATACTCAAATGAACAAATATACATATATGATTATAATTATATCTATAAATGAACATTATGAGTATCAAATATGATCATATACAATGATGTTTCAATGAAATGTACTTTTGTTCTTAAATCTCAATAAATACTCATATGAACAAATATAAATATATGATCATAACTATATCTATAAATGAACATTATGAGTATCAAATATGATCATATACAAATAACATATTAAACAAAGATAAAACCAATTTTTATCAAATACAACTAGCATATTAGACATGAACATAATATATTCTGTAAATGACTAATTACCTTGGTAGTGGAGACATTGTTAAATCCGTACCAATTGACTTGTCAATATCTTTTAAAAGTTCCGGATCTACAATTGGATCATTTTGGCGGTTTTTTTTTTCAATTTGTCTACTCTTGACTGAAGAGGTACATCATCATCATCGTCTCTGTTTTATTTAATAAATTGTTAATGTTTTAGTTATTTTCAGTAAAATCTTAGAACAATTACTACAATCGCAAAAAATTTTAACAAAAATTAGGTTTTACAAATAAATTCGCTCTATAATTTTCATCGCAAGAATATGAACAAATTAGGTTTTACAAAAGTTAGGGTTCACACATTTCTTCATAAATTTTCAACAAATTACTCGTCTCTGAAGTATTCTTCTCCAAAATCATACTACAATTGCAAAAAATTGAACAAAAATTAGGTTTCACACATAAAATCGCACTATAACTGTCATCGAAAGAAAATGAACAAAATTACTTACTCTTTAGATACATTTTGCTCCGATTTTGCAGTTTCTTCTTGCATGTTCTTCTCTGTAGTGGTTTTTTGCAAAATCGCACTACAATCGCAACAAAATGAACAAAATTAAGGTTTCACACATAAAATTGCACTACAATCTCAAAAAATGAACAAAACTAACGAAATTACTTACTCTTTTTGTTGTGATTGTTTAATTTCTTCTCGACAGACATTTGAAGCAATTTTGGAGTATGATTTTGTTGTGATTTGTTGGGTTTGATGAGAGAGAAACTCTAGAGAAATGAAGAAGATGGTGTTTAGAGAGAGAGAATGATTTGAAATTGATTTTTTTTTTTTTTTTAGTTATGCAGTTACTGCGGTTATTGTGGGGAGTGGGTAATTATTGTGGGTTAGTGGAGGGGGTGTGGGTAGTAACTCTAAACGCTGCGTTTAGAGGGAGTGTAGGTTGGGCTACCTACACTAGGGTCTAGTGTATACCAATTACTAATAGCCAATGTTGGAAATCGGTGGTATGGGCTCATTAGATGTAGAGGAGTGTTGGATTTCAGATAGGTCAAATAAGCTACAAGAATATTTGACGGGCCTTGATTTCAAATGATATCAGGCCCAATAAAGCCGAAAATGTTCAAATGCACACGATTGATTATGTTGTAAAATGTATTAAAGCTCGAGGGGAGGTTATGCTTAAGCATCATGAGGTCCAATATCTTAACTTCTCTCGACTCTAGGAAACATTGTTTGTATGGAGTGTTAAGGCAGGTCCGCAACATTGTAGTCTGAACGTCTACAGTAACTGGAAGTGGGCCATCTCAAATTCTCAACTAAAAACTTAAACTGATAGTTAAGGCTAGAGCTATCAAAAGCTGACCCGACCCGAAATACCGACCCTAACCCGACTTATTAACCGACCCGTCTGAAACCCAAAAAAAATGGTGACCCGAACCTGACCTGAAACCAACCCTAGACCCGAGTTGACCAGAGTATTTGAGACTCGAACCCGAACATTAACCGACCTAGAGACGACCTGACCCGAATGTAACCCGTAAATTATTGACCCGAACCGAACCCGACCTGAACCGAAATTGACCCAACCCCGTTTTAACCGTCAAAACCCAAATTCAACCCGACCTGTTCCAAACCTGACCCTGAATTCAACCCGACCTGTTCCTAACCCGACCCAAATTTAACCAGACCTGCTATAAACCCGACTCGAATTTCAACTCAACCTGCTACAAACCTGACCTGAATCAACTCGACTTGTTATTGAATCAATATATATAGGTCGCTATCTCATGTTGGTATTGGAACATAAATTGAATCCTAACTCTATTCCTTCAATATTTCACAAATTTTAAAAGGTTAGTTTCATAACATGTTTTTAGGGAGGAATTTCGGGTACGAAACATGTTACTGACTTGAACCAAACCCGAGAATGACCCGACTTGATTATAATCCGCAAATTATTGACTTGAACCGAACCCAACTTATATCCGAGAATGACCCAACCTAACTGTAACCGTAAATAATTGACTTGAACCGAACCCGACTCAAACCAGAAAACGACCCTTACTCGTTTAAACCTGTAAAAACCCGAATTTAACCCGACCTATTTTTCACCCAACCCGAATGTAACCCGACCTTTTACTAACCCGACCTAAACCCGACCCGAACCCGATAAGATCTATGACCCGACCCGAACTCGAGCCGCATATGTTATGACATTAACCCGTATTGACCCGACCCGAGATCACCTGACTCATACTAACCCAACTCAAACCCAAACCGTTTACCCGAATTGACAGCTCTAGTTAAGGCGCATGAATATGTTTTATACTCTACCCGTAACTAAGCTAACAACAAGAGAAGAACAGGACACGAGACACCATTTACAAATAGACATGAGAAGATAATTGAGACAAATGATAAATATACAGTACAAATAGAGCACTCCATTTACAAGCAGCACTATAAGACACTAAGCAAACAGAAATCAATCCAGTAGTTGTAAGGGAAAACAGATGCAGGACTGGAGACATACAAAGCTAGGCTAAATACAGGACAGCATTCATTTGTTGTATTTAATTTATTTGCCGAAGATGGATTTAAACCACCAAACGCCTTTGGTGTCCTCGGGAGCATCATCAACTTCCGGCGGAGGGTCAGCTTGAGGAGTCTTGTGGAGTTTGCTGACATCATACCCTTCGTCAGTGGCCTTCTGCACCAGCTGGTTGTATATCTCCTCATCCATATGAGGTGTCCGGCAAAGAATCTATTGTAATCAAAACTCAATAATCAGCTAGCTAAAACACTAAACAGTCAATCAATTAATTTCTCCCTTCGTCTCACATTAAAGTGATTATACGTAAAGACCCTTATCTCTTTTTTTTTTTTTACTTTAATTATTGTAATTCCTAATTAACCTTAAATTTTACTCGGTTACAAGTTATGTACAACGATTAAACATTTTCCCTCTTTGTATTATGTCAAATCGTTGCACATAAACTACTACAACAGAGATAGTATATAGTACCTTTTTCCACTTTCTCTCGCTAACTTTTGTGATTGTATTTTTCATTTTTATTAATGTTTTTTATTCACTTTCTCAGCTTATTTCTTAATATCGTGAAAAAACACAAACAAATACTATATTACGGGAGGAGAGGGTAATATACTTGATCTAAAAGCTGGTTCTCGCTTGAATCAAGTAATTTGGTGGTAAAAATCAGAAAACAAACAGCCCAAATGATTCATAATTCAATGTTTTTCCAAGAAACCAGTATTTGAAATTAAAAAAACACTAGGGAGTAGGGAATATTTGGTATTTGCAATTAAAAAAGAATCAAACTAGGGAATTAGAAATAGAAAGAAGAAAGGTGTTAGGTATGTACCCAGAGATATCGGCGAGAAGGCTGGCCAATCAAGGCATACTGATAATCATCATCGAGGAAAAGAATCCAATAGTCGCCAACAACAGGGATGATGGGAAGGAAAGGGGGCACATAGAATTTAACCTTGAGCTTAGCCTCATCGGAGTTAGGGTCGGCTTTGTAGGCGGAACCCTCGATAAAACTCCTCTTGCCACCACTCCAGGTTTCGTTGAGGACGTGGACGGTGGCTCCGTCAGGGTTGAGCTTGTAAGTGGCTCTGGTGTTGACGCCGTCTTTAGGCTGAAACCTTGACGGAAAAGATGCTATTTCATACCACCTTCCCATGTATCGCTCCAGATCCACCCCTTTCACCACTTCCATCTCCTTCTTAGTAGCGCTACTACTACCCATCTCCTCCTTAATTCTTTCTTGCTTTCTTTCTTTGTCAATTTAATTACTACTAATTAATTTGGGAAATACTATGTTATTGTTTTGATAAATGTTGGGGAATTGATTTTCCTTACTATATAACCTTGTGAGTTGTGATTGAGTTTTGATAACGATAGTATTACGTACGTGGCTAACTTCCCACCTTACATATGGATATTTTTTTCTAGGCTTTTCTATTTCAGGGACCACACCCCCAACCCCGCGTTGTTTTCTTTGTCCTCCTCCTGTTTTACATTACACCAGCCCCTTGTTTCTCACTTAATCATGTCTTCTATTTCAAATTACGAAGTATTCAATTCCTTTCTTCTCACACTGCTTCACGTCGGCTCTCATTTATGTTCCACAAATCACAATATCCCAACTCCACATAGCCTTATCGGGCTGTTTGGTACAAGGGATAGAAATAAGGAGAATAAAAGTGTGAGACAAGAATTGGAAATAGTAAGTGAAATAAGGATAAATGATGTTATCCTTTGTTTGGTTCAAATTGAGAATTATATAGGGATAAGGAAGACATTTATTTAACTATCCTTAGGGCCTGTTCTCATAAATTAAACTGAACTCAACTAAGCTGAACTGAAATGAATATTTTATAAAAAAAGAAAAGAAATTAGGAGCTGAATTGAACTGAGCTGAGCTAAGATGAGCTGAGCTGAGATGAACTGAACTGAACTGAAAATAAACGTATGAGAACATACTCTTATTCATATTTCTCCTCTTTCGTCCTCCTTTCTTTCATTAAGGGTGTGTTTAGATTGAAGGAAATGAAGGGAAAGGAAGGGAAGGAAAGGAAAATGGAGAGATGGAATATCTTTCATTTGGATAACAAATGAGGAAGGAAAGGAATTGAAGGGGAGAGAAATTGTAATCCCCCGTATTTTTAAATCACAAAGTCTTATATGTGGCTGGCCACATCGTGTGGCCAGCCACTATAAGGATTACTTTGCTAGTGTAATGGGGGTTACTTGATCAGTGTTAAAGAGGTTACTTCATCATTGTTATAGAGTTACTCGGTCAGTGTTATAGGGTTACTAGATTGGTATTATAGGAGTTACTTGATCAATGTTATAGGAGTTACTTTAAGTGATCACACGATGTGGCCAGCCTCACACAAGACGAGCTGTTTTTAAATATGTTATAAATGAAATTTAATTTAATTTATAATATTGTTTTGTATTTTTCGGTAATTTAATTTCAAATTATTAATTTGGGTCAAAAATTATTTTGGTACAAATTATTTTATGAACCTTCATTCTATAATTTATTTCAATACAACTAAAGCTTAGTCCATTTCATTTACCTAATTGGCCCATTAATTTTATGAGGCCCAATCTTCTTACTTACCCTACAATATTCTCCCCTATAAATACCCCATTAATCCCCAAAATTTTTCCACACAAAAAAGTTAGTCTTATTTTCTCCTTTGTTTTATTAATTTGTGTAATTATAATTATTGATTTATGGGTTTTGATTTTATTGTTTGAAATTAATTTAATTAGTCTCAAATTGTATTTTGATGATTAAACTTTGTAATTTCAGATTTTATAAATGGTCATAATTTTCAGATTTTGTAAATTTTATAACCTAGGGTTTTTAATTATTGAAAATCATGATTTTAGGGTTTTTATGAACAATTGATTTAGGGCTTTTATAGTAATGATGTTTTGAAATTTTAGTGATTATAACTACTAATTAGTTTAACTTAATTTCAGATTATTTGAACACTTAAATTCGTGTTTTAATTTTAAGATTTCCGTTCGTTAATATTAATCCCGTTTTAATCCCGATCAGGTACTGAACTCATCCGATTTTGATGAAAAGTAGTGTTTTTCATGTGGAAACAACGTTTTAAGAAAGATTCACTACTTTAGTAGTGATCACTACCCTCTTGTGGCCAAATTCAACTTCTAAATATGATTTTCGGGCAGTTTTTTTATTTTAACGAAGTTTTTTTTATATTTAAAATATTATCCTTGAGTTTGATTAATAAAATTAATTATGTTTAAAGTTAATTAAGAATAAATATATGTTTTATTGAAGTTTTAAGTGCTGGAAATAGTTTCTAAGTACTACTTTTGATGTTTTATAAAGAGGGTTTAATCACCTATTAAAAAGGGAGATTATTAGGGGTTTTTAAATAATTTTCACTTTTTTTTATTAAACTTTAAACTTGTTGTAATTTCATGTGTAAGAGTGTATTTTAAGGTTTTTATGAAGAAAATTTAAAGAACTATATATAAACCTTTAATTTTAACTAAAGGGAAGGTTTTAAAGTGTTGTTTGATTTAGATTTTGAAGGTTTTAAAGTAAGTTTGTATTGCTGTAAATTTGATTGATTGGGTATTGATTGAGATGTTATTGTTTGGTTTAGGAGAGGAATTTATTGAAGGTGATTTCTAGATAGTAAAGTGGCATACCAATTCGTTTATTCAAGGTACGTATGAGTTACGAAACCTTGCCTTTAGAAGCATGTTTAGGAACGTAACGAGAACCTAGTATCATGTATAGAGAAGACTGAGTTAAATTGTTTGGTTATACATTGTGAATTTCGTATGACGTGCACTATTTTATATTGCAAGAATTATTTGTGCTCTAATTATGTAAGGTGCGCTTAGAGGCAAAGGTATGTGATTTGTGGAATGATTTATTTATTACTCATTCATGATTATTGAGATAGGATGAGTAACAGAAGAATTCAAGTCTTATAAGACGAGGTTAAGGTTTTGGGGTGCCTTGTGCACTCAAGGTGTTTATACACCGAGGTAGTTAAAGGAATAAATAATAAATGTTGCTTGTCACTAATAAATCAAAAATTGAAATTGGAAATTTGTTTTACTTGATTGAACTGATATTGGATTGATTGTATTGTTTGCATATGAGTCATCACCAAGTCTAAACCTGTAAATCACGTAAAGTACAAGATGGATGAGCAATAAAACTCTGGATTGGTGCACTTCTGGAGTAATGACAATCAGGGGTTGGGGTACACGGGGTATTAGCCGTGTACTTTTATCGAGGTCGTCTGATCTACGAGTCTCCTATTTCAAATATTATTTTTTAAAACTAGGAGTTAGGTGAGATCTCATACTAACTACGGTCACGGAGTCGCGCCCGTGGTCGTTGAATGTTTATTGATGTTTCCGAAAGGAGGCATGGGGTTTTTCTTTTATTGATGTTCCAAATGGAGCATGGGTTGGACAACCTTTTCTATTGCGTAAACTAATGAATAAAAATAATGATTTACCTATTATTAATTAATGGAGTCTTAGTAATATAAATAGTTGAGTCGTGTGTTGAGTTTATAATTTAATGATGCATGATGATTGATTATTAGTAGCATGTTATGGATTTCTTATTTGTTTCGCAGCTTGTATGTACTCAGCTTTGCTGATTGCGTGCTTTTGTGTGTGTCTTTCTTTGGTCATGGCCTTCGCTTTTCAATGACCCTGTGACGATCAAATTTTTACACTTTTAATATTGGGAAGCAGATTAACCACAGGTTCTTACATACGCAACATTCGCATCAAGGTTGTGGGATTTTGAGTAGAGAGTTGGTTATTATTAGCAGTTTATTTCTTTTTATAAGTTTGAATTTATTTAAACTATGGTTTTATTTATTTACTACTTTTGTGGGGTTTTGAATAAGGGCCATAAGGGTTCCAAGATGTAAGATTTAATTTGGTTTTGGTCGTTGGTTTTGAAACTTATATATACCTGATTTAGTTTTCCACTGCTATTTTCTGAAAAAGCCTTAACGTTTGAACATGTGGCGGTAGCATGCCAGTAATTCTCTTGGATTTTGTTCAGGGTATTTACAGGTTTTAAGAGAGAATTATTGGGGTGTTACAAAGTGAAGGGATTAAGTAGAAAATTGATCCCTCCAACAATGGAGAGATTTGGAAGGAAAATTCAACATTCTTCCTCCCCCCCCCCCCCTCTTCTTTTCCTTCCCCCTTTTTTTCATCCAAACACAGTGTAAGAGTAAAAATGTATATTGGCTTGTTAATTTTATCCTCATCCCTTATACCACCTCCCTTAAGTTATTATTTTGGAGGGATAACTTGCATTTTTATCCCTATTCCCACTTCCATAATTATCCCCACCCCCTAAACAAACAAAAGAATATTTAAATCTCCTTCGTCTTATCCATATCTTCCTCTTTTTATCCCTCCAAATAAACACCTTCTATAGGTACGGACTATGGAGTATTCAATCAACGCCAATGCTCCTATCTAATTTACAAATATACTTTGTATCATCTATTTATTTCCTAATTGTCCCCCATCAACAAATTATATTGTTTATACTCTTAAAAGTCATATTAGTAATTTCCCTCAATTATTTTTCCCATCCGTTTCATAATATTAGTCTCATATTTATTTTGAAAAAGATCTACCCATGTTAAATATGTTTTATTTTTAACTTGATTTTTTTGTAATTAATTGGTTGATAATTGATGACATGACTCTAAGTAATAAGGAATTCTCTACCTTTAATTATGCATTATGACTTATGCTTTCCCATTAAAAAAAATCAAATAACGTAGGGCTTGTTTGAAATTGTTATTTATTTTTAGTTTTCAATTTTTTTGAAAACCAAAAACAGGAAACAAGAAAAAGGTGTTTTCACTTTTCTGTTGTCAGTTTTCAAAATTATCATGATTTTAATAAATTTGACTAATTTTTGATTCATTATATGAAATATATCATATGATTTTACAAAATAAAAAACCAAAAAACAGAAAACTAATAAGGTAAACTAATTTTGAATTATTTTGTACTTTAATGTTAGATTTAAAATATTCTTCTTTTCTTATTTTATGTAATTGATTCTATAGGGAACTAATATTATGAAATAGAGAAAGTACTAATTATGGCTTTGTTGAAAAAAAAATATATCACCACAATTTCTCCGGTGAATTGAATGTCCCTTAATTGGTGGTGGTCGGTGGTGGTTTAATTTGTTAGGAGGAGAGCAAATGCTTAAGTTATAAGGTGAAAGTCATAGAGCATATGAAAGGGTAGATTTATTCATTCATTTTAAAATGCGGGCGTTATCCGATAAAATAAGGACATCGTTTAGCATTTCACCATGTGA